ACCATCCCATCGGTGTGTCGCATTTGATTTAAGAGCACTGTCCGTTTTTGGGTTAGGCTGGCACTCGACAGCCTAGAGTGCCATTAGTCCGAATTTCCTTAAGCTGTTACCAAGTTTTCACCACTCAAAGCAATATATATACTTCAGTGTGAACAGAAACTGGCAACAATTGGTACATTTTCAAAGAACTTTGCAATGAATTGGGAAAAGTTTTGAACCGAGTGAGAAGTCGCCGTTTCGTCACTCGTCATAGCCGAGTGTTTTGGTTTTCAGTTAACAACGGGAAGGTCAGAGTCTGAATCGCCAATGGTTCTTGAGGGGCGCACTGCTAAAGATTTCAGGCAAAACCGAAAAAACCGTACAGTTCATTTCACTTGTTCGACTTTTCACCATCACTTTCCAGTTCCAACCATTTTACGGCGCCGAGCAGACAACACTAGTTTTTTGCTATTGTCTCCGTCGGCTGCTTGAATGAAGAACGTGCAATAAAACCAGAGGTACATGCTGTTTACAAGAATATGACCCGATGATTTTCACAAACTTGTGACGCGTTTGCCAAGATGATCAACTACCAAAAACAAACTTTATTCGCTACCTTTGTGATTTTCATGAATTTTACGCCCATCGTCATCCTATCGGAAACAAAATGGAAGCCATTTTTCATAAAGGAAGACACTCATAATTATACTACTCACAAGGCTGAAGAAAACTCTTCGACAGCCCACGATCGGTTTCGCCATTCTTGGGGCTCATCACGTAGGCGCAGTCCCCGAGTGTCCGTCAAATTTATCATCTACTTGAACCCAAATCGGACTTTTTTTCGAGAAATACACTAATTTGCAAATAAATTTGGTTTTTACGAGAGATTCAACTGAATTTCTCGCTTATGGTATTCTTGTATGCACGTCAGAGCAAGCTGTGTGCGTTCGCACAACTTTGTGTTGCACGCCTGCTTTTAATGTAACTCCAGCCCACAAGGGCACTTTCTCCTGCACAGAATCAATGGACCTTGATTGCACCAATTTACCAGTATATTGCAGCGCATACTTGATGTTCCTAAGCCTCCATGGAAATTCTATTAGCTGGTTCAACAATCACCTCTGGGATTATTCCGTGGGTTAATAGCATCAAGGCAGAAAAGCTAATGACAGTTCTAGGTGCTTCGTGTTGTCATGATATGGGATATTCCATTCAATTCTGTGAACAAGAGAGATCGATACAAGAAAAAACTTGGCCTACACAAGAGTCGCTATTCCCCATCTATAGCCGGACATTTTCCTGCCGCAGGCACACGAGAGATTCAACAGAATCCCTCGTTTATGATATTCTACAACTGAATGTGCTGCACACAGGCTGCTTCATGCTTCATTTGGCACGATATTCGAGATAGCACAGTATATTTTCGTTTCGAAAACGGTGCAATTTAGGTTCAAGTAGAACATAAGGTTGACCGAAACTCGCGCCTACCTGATGGGCCCCAAGAAGGGTGAAACCGGTCGTGGGCTGTCGAAGAGTTTTCCAGCCGCCTTGTGAATAGTTTCCTTTATGAAGATATACTGCAATATCTCGAATTTGCAAATGAGTGTATTTCTCGAAATCATGGAAGCCTGTTTTGTGCAATTGAGCCGATTCAAGTGACTTCGAGATCACTGGTGTTAAGTAGTTAGGGTAAAATATTCATACTCAGTATGTGACGGCTGTCCCATTTCATGTTTCATAATACTTGATGAGAGTTTGAAGAGTTGACACAATTTGTTCATTAGATTTGAAGCGTTCTACCTTAAGCACCCAAGAAAAAATTGAAAGCACTGAGTGTGGATGAAGATACCTTTGCGCTCCCAATTGCCTGAATGGATTGCCTGTCGTTGTTACATGATTATTGCTTTCCGAATTCAACTGTACATACTATCGCAACGTCCAGACTTGCCGGCATCATCAGCTCATTCACTACGTTCAAAGTGCCACGAAGATACCCTCACTTTTGGATCGGAAAAGTACTGGCGCAGAGAAGAACGGTGCTGTGCGGTTCGTTATGGAAAGCATTCTCCTGTAGACGGGTATTCTGATAAAACGGGTCCTGCTGTCCACTGTCCGAGTTAATCCGACCAACAACTCATCCTGTTTGACGTACTTTCTTAAAACAGGTTGAGTTATATTCTTCCTGATCACACTATGTAAATCAATCAGAGAAATACTTGTAGACAAACAAGCACTACAGTCTTTCTGAACAGTTTGTTCACCACTACGGTATCGTGTTCAAATTCGTACCTTTTCAGGGGCTTATCGGTTCTATGTGGACGTCCAGTGTGGTCAATTTCTCCCTAATGGTCTGAATTCTTCATTAGGCCACAACAACCTGAATAGCGGAAAAAGATGTACGTAACCTCTGAAAATTTTTGCGCTACATTACTGTCCAGAAATCTAGGGAATCAACGGTTTCCCCATGCGGCAAGGTGCAGGGGGACAGTACAAAAGCAACCGCGGCACATCTCATCACGTCAGCGGCCGAATATATGCGCCACTAAGAAAACAAGTTGCTGACAGGTAAGCTATTTATAAACATGCTGCAATTTCACCTGCTATCTCAGATTGTATAGATCCGAGAGGAGATTTTTTTTAGTCAATAAACAATCTCATTCCAGTCGAATATGTTCACGGAATCAATCAAACTCATCGGGGCAACTAGGCAGTCATCAAGTTCCAGCTTATCGCACAAATTTCTCAATATACGTGCAATTTCAAGCCATTTCATACACAAACTCGAAAACATCTATCGCCAATGACCGGGATTCCTCAGCTTCCTCTCTCTGCTATCCCCAGTTGCTCTGTTTCTCAGAGGCCAATAGGTTTACTTTCTGCCGAATATCCTCTGGATCAAAACAGACTCAGTTTTGATTCTCCTTTGTACCAGTTTCGTTCACCCCAATTGCCGATGACAGTCGCCCTAAATGGACAGCAGCAATTCCTTCTTGTAAAGTTTCAGTGACACTTGAACTAATCCATGAAGATTAATTGATCACCAGCCCCTCTGATAGGCCTAACCAAATTTGCCGTTGGAGGTAGCCGGGCAATGTTACCGATCAAACTCAACTCACTCCATAGACAGGGGTTAAGATATGTCGAAGTGTATAATTGGGTCATGATGTATGAGGTGTCCGTTAGCGTAAGGCGTCTCTCAGAGTCCCGCTAACCAACTCGAAAAAAATTGTCAATCACGTGTAAAGAGGGACTTGAAACCTCAATATTTTCAAACTGCCTCGATTAGATGTCATGCGATACGGTATGCCTCCTATGTGGGTTCTCCAATGTTAACTCAGAGCCGTAAACTTAAACAGTTATGTACATATTTCCTCTCATTGCAACATTAACCTGAAATATGAGGAACACTATATTCAGCTGCGTTGCTCGGCCAATAAAAGTGACTCCATTCCACTGCTACCACTTTTGTTCTGATTAAAGTTGTCATAAATAACTTTTGCCTCAGTCTTCCTAGTTCTTTTGACCACAAGCTAGATGTTCCATCTATCCGTTCTTGCTTCCTGAAAAATCTGGCGCACAGTCTTTTTCTGACGAATGACATTACCTGAACTTCACTGCTTTGTCTGGTACGGTGTGCCGCACTGTCATTTGGACGGAAATGCTGCCGGCGACGAAACACACAAACCACCTGGTCCCTTAAACTCCTGTTGAACTTGTCACAGTCTGGACAGCTGTGTGGAAGCGAGCCCATTAAAGACCACAGAATCGTGAAGGATTCATTCAACAAGACTTCATATATGCCAAGGTCATCCAGTATAAACAATGAACAGAATTCAAAAAAGCGACGGGTCATTCTTGTCAGTCGCGTAAAGGGCCGATTAAGGACGATTTGACGTGGTGATGTTAAGTTGCCTTTTCAGTTCCCGTCCACTGACCACTTCCGTCCTAAGGACAGATAGAGGCAGAAATGTGTATTATTAAAACTCTAACAGACTACTAAATTTAAGCTGGTGTGGGTTCAGCTTGTTCGAATTTGGTTCGCACCTCATTGAGTGCTCAGTTACGTTACAGAAACAGGGCTGGGAAGAATCGATGTCTCCCCAAGATAATGGCCTTAAGATTGACTGAAAATTTCGGATTGCTTTCTGGATAAAGCGACTTTGTGGTCTGTCCGCTTCCGGTCGGGCATTTTGGCTAAAACTGGCCCCAGTTTTTATGCGAGTTTTTTACTCGAAGAGAAAATGATAAAAAACGTTTCCCCGAACTTTTCATCTTTGTCTGACTGCTTTTTTATACTCTGTGGATCTTTTTGAAGTTCGGCAGCAGGATAAATTCCAGTTGAATGAGGGGGTACAACTGGTTTAGCTGGAATCTATGAAAAACCATGAAACTATAAGCATTCAGCTGTAACACACTTCCGGTGCCTAGCTGCCATGTTACCCGAAAGTTGCACGATAGCTGGGATACTGCCAGGTTCGCCAAGCCTAGACAAGGGAAGTAGAGAGGCTGAGGTCGGGTTCGAACTACGGACCTTTCGGTCAGCAAATTTGCGCTCCAACCACTTGGGCAATCTCGCCTCTTAGCTGGAATCACAAAATTTAAACAGATTCTGTATGATAAATCACAAACAAATAGTCGTTTAGACATAGGCACGGCTTAGTATGACTATCAAACACTGCAGGAATCGCTCGGAGTTAGATATCACCAAAAACAAAATGGACGGATGGCTTCCGACCAATCTACACTACGCACAATCCGACCTACACTCAGTCTTAAAGAAATGTAAGAGGCTAGTTAGAAATGACTCGGAAGAACGGTGTAAAACGAGTAAGTTTAGAGAGACCGAAGGTCAGTTAGCAAAAAGTAACCTTTAAGTCTCAGTATTCGAATCCACACTACAGTGTCACCGTTGCGACATTATTGGACCCTAGTAAATATACTTTAAAGCTGGGTTGTCGGTGGCAGCAACAAATAGTTCAGAGGACTTTGGTGATCAAATTTACATTTTTGAATCCACTTACTTGTTGAGGTGACATTTTCAGCGTCGCAGCCAAATGCTCACGTTCTTGTGCGGACAGGTAGCGTTGGTGTTTGAATCGACTTTCAAGTTCGAAGATTTGTGCCTGAGAGAACAAAATTCGAGGTTTCCGCCGTCCTCGCTGTCGCATCAAAAGAAAGTCGCCAGTCCGGCTGCGCTCAAACGTGTGTGAAGTATCGGAAATCTTTGGGGGATCAAAAGTTACGGGGATTTCCTTGATGTCGCGTATTCTACATGAGTAGGGTGGTTCGTTGAAAGAGTTGGGTAGCTGAGGTGCACCGTTTGTAGGTGTTTCTGATGAGGCACACTTTTCGATTGGGAATTTATCCTTGCGCGAGTTGAGTTCAGCACCATGTCTGTGGTTGTACGGTAGCATCCGTTCGAAGCTCCAGTCTCCTCCATGGCCAAGGGAGGCCGGGTCTAAAATCAGTTCCACAAAGTGTGTTTGAACAGGAAAAAAGATCATCTCAGGCATATAGTCTCGGCAATCGATATTCTTTATCGGTTGTGTTTTAAAGGTCATACTCACTGCTGACTCGCCAACTACTCGTGGTTTGATCGGTCAAGTAATCGCAAATCCTTGCCTTGATACTCTCTCTAATAGACCCTACAGAACCACATTGATAAATCAGGAATTATTCATCTCCTTAGATACACGATTCACGTTTTTCTTAAGAGTGAGTACGACTCACAAAAACTGCTTCCACTGCGACTACCTAGAAAAGGGTAGCTGGATCAAATTTCGTTGTACTTAGCGTAGCTAATTTGGAAACTGTTCTAATACCTGTCAGCATTTTTCTTTTTACTGCCCCCTCTGGTTGTTTACAGCTCCTCTTTGACTCAGAAGAGATTTCGCTTGGATTACTCCTGGGAAGGGTCATGAATGATCTACAAATTATCACAGTTTATTCTGATGGTGGAATCCTTGGTGTAACGTTTAATTATGACAAATCCTAGAATAAATCTTTGTTCTTTTGCTCGAAGGTAAACTAAATAACTGAATATGGAGCACCCACGTAGGCAAAAATATTACCGCTCAATCATTGACAGAAGCATGCAAATGGGTGTCAGATTCAAGCAAGATTTTGTGGCCCGAGTCTCTTCGTCCGATTCACCTTCCATGAATTTGAGAACTGTCAAGATCTTATTGGGCGAGACAGCGTGTACTCGGGGATTGCACACTATATACGTACAAAAGTTTCTCTCAAATATCAGGAACCGGGTTTCTGTGTGCTCTGGCCCGTTCAATGGTCTTCTTCCTAGTCTTCCTGGATCCATTCTGGCTGGTTTGATTGGACTAGCTCTGGGAACAAGCATTGCTATCGACTTGGCAGCTACTTTTCAGGTTATACGCGATTCGCCGAACTAGTTTTAATGCCATACTGGCACACGATACAGTGTCTAAAACCAAATTCAGTGCACCGCATTGTTGTGTTCGAATTCCGTGCACGATGACCCTCAGACCGACCGAAACGAGTGAAACCGCTAACCAACGTCAACGGACCTGGTCAACCGACAGCTCCTGGGTCTTCTGCTTCTGGCTGGCTTTCTTCAGACATAATCTATTAAAATCTACTGGAACTATCGATATATCATGCAAATGGACATTGGAAACGCATAGAGCTACTTTTTTGTGTTTGAACACAAACCAGTGACTCTGGATTCCGGTTTTCCGTTTCTGTCCACACTACATTGATCGGTGCCTGGAAATGTCCGCTAACATGTTTAATCTCTATTTCGGCAGCCGGTTAATACACCCAGCAAGCAGTAGAATTAAGGGCGACTGCCTAATCCCGTATGAATACGTTACATTTGCTTTTCCGTATGTCACACAACTTATCGAATGAAAAAAGCACTACTTCCAGGGATCTCAGACATTAGACATCCCTTTAAAATCAAGTGCCGCCTTCTGGAGAAGAAGTGAGTTAACAGTTGCCATCTCTTTAACTAACCCTTTTCCAAACTATCACTTTCGCAGACAAAAATTGGATACCGTTAGAACGTACAAAAGAGCAGTTTCCAATTATCCCCAGGGATTTGAAAAAGGTACATATCCGCGTTGTTCTTGGTAATGCTGTCGCGAAAAGTTGGTCTTCTAAGAACCGGGAAATGAATTCAGATTTCCTTGTTTTAGTGTCTATGATGAGCTTAGGTGTAAAATCTGCTAATGGGTGCCATAATTTACATCACGTTAACTAGCATTTTTCCACTTTCTTGTCCACGAACTTCCATTGAGCATTACGTCGAAGCCACGGTTTTCAACACATTGTCCTGGTCGTGAAGAAATGAAATTGGCGGCTTTTTGNAATAAGGACGTTTATCCTACCTTCAAGTTGTTGAATAAATGCAGTAGTGTCTTTTGAAAAGTGATTGATGATCACGCATGACAATGTGGTTGACGTGTGGTGGTTGGCACCCAGTCTAAACATTTATTTCGTTCCATGCACCAATCTTCGTCTTTGTGATTCCCCGCTATTTGGTTGGCCCTGCAACCTCCTTGTACTCACCGCCTTCGTCCGTTGCCTAGACAACTGGTTAAAAAGCCTGTTTTATCTCAACCAAGTGCGCTGCTACCCGGATCTCCGGTAGAGAAATCCCTGAAGCGCACGGTATGTGGATCCTAGGCCCAATGTTTTTGCTTCCGACTGGTGATTAGCGTGATCCAAACGTCACAACGAGGGCGTAATGAAACATTCTTCCCAGCAGTTGGAGGCTCGACGCTATGGCAGAGACTGGTTCAACCCAAATAAAATCCACACCGCTTTTTCAACGAATCATCCATGCAACAATTTAGCAAAAAAGTCCAACTCCCAAGACTATACGTAAAGCTTTCTGCGAGCAGCAATGCGTCCCAGAATAAACACTCAGATCAAACGACACATGTCACAAATGACTACTCGGTTCTGAGCAATATATAGAATGTTGCTCAATGAACAAAGCTTCAAAGCCGCGAAGTCAAATCAACGATTAACACAGCATTAGAGAAAAATTGTGATATTTTTTATCTCTACCTAGAGGTGTTAGTTCTTATTACCCAAAAGTTCTACTGCAGTGCGATTGAATATTGGAATACATCTTGTCACTTCGCTGTTAGAAGCACATAAAAGTAATCCTATATTCCACTACCAAAACTCTGAAATTAGCAATAATCACAACTTTATCCGTTTGTTGTTCGATCTCCTTTGTTTTGAGGAAAGTAATTGCAAAGTAGATGTTTCCGACGAGGAATCCCAAAGTTAATTTTTTCGGGAAAGACTGATCGACTGGGCAACTTTTTCGTCAGACTGGATCAAACGCCGCTATCATTCAATCAGGCATCTCGTCCCACGTAACCCCGTGACTCACCGAGTGGCAAGCTCCAGATAAAATACCCACTAGGCTAAAACAACTCTAACATTGTCGACACAGCTTTATCGTACTTCTAGAATTTTCGACATCAATGGCCTTCACTTTCGGGAGTAAATTTCAGTCGGAAAAACTAGTACTATTAAAATATACTCTCAGTTGAGACAGTCTGGCGGTCAATATTTGGAGTGTCACACCAACAGATATAGTATTCTGTGGAGCGGATGAGGCAGCGTTTCTGACTTAAAACAAAGTGTACATCAAGCCGTAGGCTAGAGGAGGTTGCTAACTGTAGATGAGGATTTAAAAATAGGGTTTTCCCGCTCACCGTCCTCAAACAAGTCATGTATGAACAGTTGCCAGTACCACTGAAGGCAACTCTCCTCTGTGATTCAATGGAATCTATTGCACTAAGGAGGCTTAATCACTAATGGATTTAGAGAAAATACAGTTCGTGGAAATGTAGAGCAGAAACACAAACGAATATAACTCGGAATAAAACTGAACAGGAGACCTGATACACTATGGAACAATATACTATAACTGGACTGGTAAACACAGAATATTAGTTGTATGTTGCACGGTAAAATAACGATGATAACATGATACTGACATCGAAGGCAGCCCGCTTCTTCGGTGAGTGCGAACGAATTTAACTCGCTCAAGTTTTTGCCTTTACTATCTGAAATTGGAAATCGTAAACGAGAGATTCAGCTGGGTTCCAAATGAGTCTCTCGAAAAACCAGATTAGTCTGCAAATGAGTGTATATTCACTAATCTCGTGCAATTTGACTTCAAGTGGAACATAAGGTTGACGGAAACTCGGGGACTGCGCCTACCCCAAGAGGGGCGAAACCGGCCATGGGCTGTCGAGGAGTTCTCAGCAACCTTAAGAGTAGTGCATTACAAATATATATAAGGATTTCTCCTGTTTTGCCCTTTCGTATATTCCGATAGCAATGGAGTATGAAATAAATCAGCTACACTAATCTTTAGAACAAAAACTGTTGGAAATACATTTTTGCCTCTCCAGTGGTTGTCCTTCGAATATTTAATGATGTGGAACATTGTTTGGTCCCTTCGGGAAAGTATTCCGTCTTCGGACGAGACCTCTGTTTGGGGGGAAGGCTGCACTCCACATGGTTTGGGTCATATGTCGATCATCGTAGTTTCCCTCGTACTCAATTTGCATGCCGCTGGCAATCGAAAGTTTTACTAAAAAGCAGAATGCATTTGTTCGCAGAAAAATAAACTAATGCTAAGTTCGCACGCGGGAGATCGAAATGAAAAGGTTCATTGAAAGAAGGAATTCAGTGGGTAACTGTACTCAATAAAAACCCTGGCCACAACTTTTTATGCAATATGAGATACAACCAAGTCAACTCCGTTAGTTTCAAACAGCGCAAAATCCGCCCCTGTTTGGCGACATCCTTTGAAGAATTTTGTCGCAGCACCGATTAAGGAACTATAATTCCATAGTCTGAATATCACTCTAGACGAAACCTAGACAGGTCTTGTACTCTCACCTAGGTTGGGAACTCTGCAAATTGAGGTGCTTGTCCAAAGCTACTTCCAATCAACGGCTTTTCAGCTGTTGTGATTAAAGGTCACGTGTACTCGACTTACATTAATGAGCCGTCGGTGATATCCTACAGCTGATTGTGTCATTAAGTGCGGTTATTTGCGGGGGTAAATCTGTTACAAATCTCGCCGCAACATTTTTCACACAAGCAGAATCTACCATATGGATTGTGAAAGATTTCACGGAGCTTACAGCGGAAACTTATGCATTTTTTTGAAAGAATCTCATACTTACAAAGTGTTCCACCGTCATGCTCGTTCAAGACAAACGCAGAACTCTCGCGTTCGAGGAAACTTTCGGTCAACGTATTACTCAGTGGTGCTTCAGCGTACGGAGTCAACTCCGTTCCATATGGATTGCTTTGTTCCGAAGTTTCTTCCTCCCGACTGTGATGAGGCTTGTCAGGAAGATGAATATGTTGTGACCTGTGGTACTCACTACCCAAAAATCCGTTCTGTGTTGTAGAACATTCGTTTTGTGGGAGATGCTGGCACAAATGCAAGCCTACGGCTGGATGAGTGCCAGATTCTTGAGGGTCGGATATTTCCATTGACTGATCGAAAGTTCGAACAAATATAATTATCGTAAGGAGAGGATAAGTTGCGATAATTGCTGGAACAGTGATGCGAACTTTTGTGTGTGAAATCGAGTGACTCTGGGTGCCATCAAGTGTGGTTATTTGCGGAGATAAATCTGTTACCAATCTCGCCGCAATATTTTTCATACAAGCAGAATCTACCATATGACTTGTGAAAGATTTCACGGAGCTTACAGCGGAAACTTATGCATTTTTTTGAAAGAATCTCATACTTACAAAGTGTTCCACCGTCATGCTCGTTCAAGACAAACGCAGAACTCTCGCGTTCGAGGAAACTTTCGGTCAACGTATTACTCAGTGGTGCTTCAGCGTACGGAGTCAACTCCGTTCCATATGGATTGCTTTGTTCCGAAGTTTCTTCCTCCCGACTGTGATGAGGCTTGTCAGGAAGATGAATATGTTGTGACCTGTGGTACTCACTACCCAAAAATCCGTTCTGTGTTGTAGAACATTCGTTTTGTGGGAGATGCTGGCACAAATGCAAGCCTACGGCTGGATGAGTGCCAGATTCTTGAGGGTCGGATATTTCCATTGACTGATCGAAAGTTCGAACAAATATAATTATCGTAAGGAGAGGATAAGTTGCGATAATTGCTGGAACAGTGATGCGAACTTTTGTGTGTGAAATCGATTGAGTGACTCTGGTGGGTGACAACAGATTGTTTCAATCTGTGGATAAGCAATGCATGTGTGAAAAATTTGGCGTAAACAACTGTACCGGGCGACCGATTCGATGTCCAGTGTTACTTCGTCCTAATTGGTTTTCAAGTGGATATGACGAGGCGCCAGGATAAGGGGGGTGAGCATGCACGTTTGATGGGACGACGGTCTTGAATGGAAGAAGGATGAAAGTGTGGTGTTCCTTGTAGGGGTAGAAAACACCCGAAAAGGAACAGACAAGTCAGAATGGGTAGGTTTACAACTTTCCTATTGGTCGGAGCGGAGCGAACGCTTCACGGGGCTGTCTGTTCATTGGGCAACACTGTTCGCTTAATTTCCCTCACAATGTCGCGGAGAGGATTTGATGATCAGCCTGTTGGGATATGTTTTTGTCATGCACAAAGGAATGCGCCAGTAATTAATTCTACTTTGCCCAATGAATTTAGATCACTGCACGTTTCAGAGAACATCGATTTATTAGCGTGCGTAGGAAATTCTAACGTACTACTCATCAGCAAGAATACGATGTATGTTATCCACTGCACGTTTCAGAGAACATCGATTTATCAGCATGTGTAGGAAATTCATCAGCAAGAATACAACGTATGTTATTGGGGTATGCTAGAAAGACGCGCATAAAGTGAACGCACAAGAGTATAAACATCGGAAATGCTAACGTTAGCCACAGGCTTTGTGGCTCTGTTTTATATCAGTGGACAGCATAACCGAGGCAATAGGCGATCGTTTGATCAAGTTGGGTCACATGTCGCGTTGTCGTAAGAAGAGCTTAAAGGGGTACTGAATTGGAAGCTAGTAGATACGTCATCATACTTCGTCAGTTTTACAGATTCATCTTTATCTACTCATCAGCAAGAATACGATGTATGTTATCGGGGTATGCTAGAAAGACGCGCATAAAGTGAACGCACAAGAGTATAAACATCGGAAATGCTAACGTTAGCCACAGGCTTTGTGGCTCTGTTTTATATCAGTGGACAGCATAACCGAGGCAATAGGCGATCGTTTGATCAAGTTGGGTCACATGTCGCGTTGTCGTAAGAAGAGCTTAAAGGGGTACTGAATTGGAAGCTAGTAGATACGTCATCATACTTCGTCAGTTTTACAGATTCTATCTTTATCTGCTTCATCCGTTTATGCAGCAGAGAACGTGATCCAATCACAGAAGACTGATTAACAAAACCAAGCAAGAGAAACCAGACCAAGAGAAAAGTGCGACATACTGTAGATATCAGTGTTTAGATAACAAGATGTATGGACATTGAATGTCAGACGTCACAAGTGTGTAACAGTTCCGCACAGATGACATTTCAACCTATCCTAATAGTTTAGAGGGATAAAAGTAGATTTGTTTAGAGCCCCTTGAGATATACTCTTTACTATTTGTTCTTTGGGTTAGCAGGATGCTCCACGAGTTGAGCAATGAGGAGCAACAGATCTGCTTAACAGGTGATTGATTTCACTGATGGGGAGAAGCCCCCACTGAAGAGCATCAAATCTCTTCACACTCTTATCAATCTCTACATGACTCAGAGATGTGTGAATCTTCCATTTGAGAGGAAATTACTTGGGGAGTCAGTCAACACTTGTTTTCTCTTGATGTGGGTCCCATGGTTGAAGGGCGCCCCGTTAGACACACTGCTAATCAGCAGCTGACGGCCGAGAGTCTAACTGTCCAGACTACTGCTAGGAGGTCGCGGATTCGAAACTCCCTTCAATTTATCAAGCCCAATGGAGACATAACCGCTGAAGAGTCAGCATGTACTGATCTCATCAGCAAGGCGAAGTTGCGGTTGAAAATGAAAAAAATCTCCTTACACTACGATCAGATTTATCAAGGACTAAAATTTGACCCAGTTTCCTAAGTACAAGTACGTACATGATAGCAAAACCACAGGTTCGGCTGGGTAAAATACTTAAACGGAACAGAGATTACTTTACAATTTGGTTTCCATGCAAAGAATTGGGTTGTCTGGACGGTAACGCTAGTCATTTTGGGTGTAATATGCAGTTGATTAAGCACCTGTGAAATACTTGTCGACGATAGGATTATCTGAGTAAAGTGAGACACGAAATGGGTATGCATTTCACAGCGGGATGACCACTGGCTGGTAGGGCGATTAAAAACAGCAGAATAAATTATATCACCAATTATTTAACATGTAGGTCGAGTACAGGCCTTTGGCTAACCTTTTACAATAAAGAACGGTGTGGACATGCCTGCAGTTCAACTGCGCGAACTGATGGTGCCGGCTAGCTCTCTTTTGAACGCTGGTAAGCATTGTCTGAGGGTCGGCCAGTTCGTTCCAGGTGGATAATAACAACACAAAGAAGCGTCTTTCAGAACGACTGTTTATTGTGATGTCTTCTTATGTTTCTGGCATTTCTGTATCCAGGAATGCGTTCAAACTGGCTGGTCTTGTTTTAAAAGAGTACAGAAGGCATACCGGCACTTTACTGGGTCACCGGACACCACTTTCAGGAAAAAGTATAGCCAACTAAGCCTCAGTGTGTGATTGGCTTCGACCTTCTTGGGGCATTTCATCTAAGCGTAATCTGCGATTTTTCTAACCTGATGATCCCAAAGAAGCGCGGCACTAGTGAAGGGAAGAAGGCCTTCGCTGCGAATTTGCTCACTAGAAAACGCCAACTGACCAGCTACAGATTGTTGGATAGGGAAGCAAAACTCTCATATGCATCTCGTTTACAAAAACTGAACATCCACATTCTCCTTGAACGGGTCTTCCTAAACTTTCCTGAATATTCATTGACTGTTGTTCAAATTCAAACAAATGCTACAAAGCGACTCCACAAATTCCGCAGCAGATCTCCCTTTTCGAGAGATACAAAGCGAATTTACAAGAGGCAAACGTACTACTCACATGCCTTCTCATCAGTAGTATCACTGTTACACTAGTAGTGATCTGTCGAAAAGTTTTCAGCAACCTCGTGAACATTGGTTCCGGGTATCGTAGCAGCTGACACCACAGGTAGCCTCTGTGCATATCCAATTTAACAATACCATAAAATAGAGATTCGCCTGAAATTCCGTTAAGTCCCCTGTTAGAACCAAATTGCTGTGAAAGTCAGCGTACTCGCGATTACATTCGTCATCTTATTGGTCACACATTTGTAGACCCCCAGGTCCGTTCGATGTCCTAAAACCATGCAGCCTTGCTCCATGTCATGAAGATTGGCACTGAGTACATGGAAGGCGAGCATACTATGCTGATAGACAGTCGCGAATGGGGAAGGAAAATCATGCAGCCCAAAAGACAAAGGTGATGAGTAACAAGCCGAACCGTTGCGTCTGTTCGTTTGTATGTATATGTTCAATATATTTCAAGCAGTAGCACTTTTTCAGTAGATAACGTGCAGATTCTCTGCCTTGATAGCTATTTACATAGTGCACTTCACAGTTGCCAGGTGTCCATTTTGCATCGCTGATGAGAAGTTAGCATGCACAATGGAAACAGTATGCGAGTTCACTCATGTTACATAGCTAGTATGTTTGCAGTCTGATGTAAAATTATATTAGTATGGTGCCTGGCCGCCTCGCATCGGAATGTAGAGCGTCACACTGACGGGTAACTAAAAATCTCCATGGAATGACCAGCGTGCAGTGACCGCCAAGGGCAGTTTGAAGTGAAAAAAGCTTCAGTTGCCTGGAAACATCGGTTTCATGTGAGTCTCTCGTAAAACAAAGTTTGTTTGCAAATGAGTGTTCTTCGCTAAGCGGAAACTTATGCATTTTTTTGAAAGAATCTCATACTTACAAAGTGTTCCACCGTCATGCTCGTTCAAGACAAACGCAGAACTCTCGCGTTCGAGGAAACTTTCGGTCAACGTATTACTCAGTGGTGCTTCAGCGTACGGAGTCAAGTCCGTTCCATATGGATTGCTTTGTTCCGAAGTTTCTTCGTCCAGACTGTGATGAGGCTTGTCAGGAAGATGAATATGTTGTGACCTGTGGTACTCACTACCCAAAAATCCGTTCTGTGTTGTAGAACATTCGTTTTGTGGGAGATGCTGGCACAAATGCAAGCCTACGGCTGGATGAGTGCCAGATTCTTGAGGGTCGGATATTTCCATTGACTGATCGAAAGTTCGAACAAATATAATTATCGTAAGGAGAGGATAAGTTGCGATAATTGCTGGAACAGTGATGCGAACTTTTGTGTGTGAAATCGATTGAGTGACTCTGGTGGGTGACAACAGATTGTTTCAATCTGTGGATAAGCAATGCATGTGTGAAAAATTTGGCGTAAACAACTGTACCGGGCGACCGATTCGATGTCCAGTGTTACTTCGTCCTAATTGGTTTTCAAGTGGATATGACGAGGCGCCAGGATAAGGGGGGTGAGCATGCACGTTTGATGGGACGACGGTCTTGAATGGAAGAAGGATGAAAGTGTGGTGTTCCTTGTAGGGGTAGAAAACACCCGAAAAGGAACAGACAAGTCAGAATGGGTAGGTTTACAACTTTCCTATTGGTCGGAGCGGAGCGAACGCTTCACGGGGCTGTCTGTTCATTGGGCAACACTGTTCGCTTAATTTCCCTCACAATGTCGCGGAGAGGATTTGATGATCAGCCTGTTGGGATATGTTTTTGTCATGCACAAAGGAATGCGCCAGTAATTAATTCTACTTTGCCCAATGAATTTAGATCACTGCACGTTTCAGAGAACATCGATTTATCAGCATGTGTAGGAAATTCATCAGCAAGAATACAACGTATGTTATTGGGGTATGCTAGAAAGACGCGCATAAAGTGAACGCACAAGAGTATAAACATCGGAAATGCTAACGTTAGCCACAGGCTTTGTGGCTCTGTTTTATATCAGTGGACAGCATAACCGAGGCAATAGGCGATCGTTTGATCAAGTTGGGTCACATGTCGCGTTGTCGTAAGAAGAGCTTAAAGGGGTACTGAATTGGAAGCTAGTAGATACGTCATCATACTTCGTCAGTTTTACAGATTCTATCTTTATCTGCTTCATCCGTTTATGCAGCAGAGAACGTGATCCAATCACAGAAGACTGATTAACAAAACCAAGCAAGAGAAACCAGACCAAGAGAAAAGTGCGACATACTGTAGATATCAGTGTTTAGATAACAAGATGTATGGACATTGAATGTCAGACGTCACAAGTGTGTAACAGTTCCGCACAGATGACATTTCAACCTATCCTAATAGTTTAGAGGGATAAAAGTAGATTTGTTTAGAGCCCCTTGAGATATACTCTTTACTATTTGTTCTTTGGGTTAGCAGGATGCTCCACGAGTTGAGCAATGAGGAGCAACAGATCTGCTTAACAGGTGATTGATTTCACTGATGGGGAGAAGCCCCCACTGAAGAGCATCAAATCTCTTCACACTCTTATCAATCTCTACATGACTCAGAGATGTGTGAATCTTCCATTTGAGAGGAAATTACTTGGGGAGTCAGTCAACACTTGTTTTCTCTTGATGTGGGTCCCATGGTTGAAGGGCGCCCCGTTAGACACACTGCTAATCAGCAGCTGACGGCCGAGAGTCTAACTGTCCAGACTACTGCTAGGAGGTCGCGGATTCGAAACTCCCTTCAATTTATCAAGCCCAATGGAGACATAACCGCTGAAGAGTCAGCATGTACTGATCTCATCAGCAAGGCGAAGTTGCGGTTGAAAATGAAAAAAATCTCCTTACACTACGATCAGATTTATCAAGGACTAAAATTTGACCCAGTTTCCTAAGTACAAGTACGTACATGATAGCAAAACCACAGGTTCGGCTGGGTAAAATACTTAAACGGAACAGAGATTACTTTACAATTTGGTTTCCATGCAAAGAATTGGGTTGTCTGGACGGTAACGCTAGTCATTTTGGGTGTAATATGCAGTTGATTAAGCACCTGTGAAATACTTGTCGACGATAGGATTATCTGAGTAAAGTGAGACACGAAATGGGTATGCATTTCACAGCGGGATGATCACTGGCTGGTAGGGCGATTAAAAACAGCAGAATAAATTATATCACCAATTATTTAACATGTAGGTCGAGTACAGGCCTTTGGCTAACCTTTTACAATAAAGAACGGTGTGGACATGCCTGCAGTTCAACTGCGCGAACTGATGGTGCCGGCTAGCTCTCTTTTGAACGCTGGTAAGCATTGTCTGAGGGTCGGCCAGTTCGTTCCAGGTGGATAATAACAACACAAAGAAGCGTCTTTCAGAACGACTGTTTATTGTGATGTCTTCTTATGTTTCTGGCATTTCTGTATCCAGGAATGCGTTCAAACTGGCTGGTCTTGTTTTAAAAGAGTACAGAAGGCATACCGGCACTTTACTGGGTCACCGGACACCACTTTCAGGAAAAAGTATAGCCAACTAAGCCTCAGTGTGTGATTGGCTTCGACCTTCTTGGGGCATTTCATCTAAGCGTAATCTGCGATTTTTCTAACCTGATGATCCCAAAGAAGCGCGGCACTAGTGAAGGGAAGAAGGCCTTCGCTGCGAATTTGCTCACTAGAAAACGCCAACTGACCAGCTACAGATTGTTGGATAGGGAAGCAAAACTCTCATATGCATCTCGTTTACAAAAACTGAACATCCACATTCTCCTTGAACGGGTCTTCCTAAACTTTCCTGAATATTCATTGACTGTTGTTCAAATTCAAACAAATGCTACAAAGCGACTCCACAAATTCCGCAGCAGATCTCCCTTTTCGAGAGATACAAAGCGAATTTACAAGAGGCAAACGTACTACTCACATGCCTTCTCATCAGTAGTATCACTGTTACACTAGTAGTGATCTGTCGAAAAGTTTTCAGCAACCTCGTGAACATTGGTTCCGGGTATCGTAGCAGCTGACACCACAGGTAGCCTCTGTGCATATCCAATTTAACAATACCATAAAATAGAGATTCGCCTGAAATTCCGTTAAGTCCCCTGTTAGAACCAAATTGCTGTGAAAGTCAGCGTACTCGCGATTACATTCGTCATCTTATTGGTCACACATTTGTAGACCCCCAGGTCCGTTCGATGTCCTAAAACCATGCAGCCTTGCTCCATGTCATGAAGATTGGCACTGAGTACATGGAAGGCGAGCATACTATGCTGATAGACAGTCGCGAATGGGGAAGGAAAATCATGCAGCCCAAAAGACAAAGGTGATGAGTAACAAGCCGAACCGTTGCGTCTGTTCGTTTGTATGTATATGTTCAATATATTTCAAGCAGTAGCACTTTTTCAGTAGATAACGTGCAGATTCTCTGCCTTGATAGCTATTTACATAGTGCACTTCACAGTTGCCAGGTGTGCATTTTGCATCGCTGATGAGAAGTTAGCATGCACAATGGAAACAGTATGCGAGTTCACTCATGTTACATAGCTAGTATGTTTGCAGTCTGATGTAAAATTATATTAGTATGGTGCCTGGCCGCCTCGCATCGGAATGTAGAGCGTCACACTGACGGGTAACTAAAAATCTCCATGGAATGACCAGCGTGCAGTGACCGCCAAGGGCAGTTTGAAGTGAAAAAAGCTTCAGTTGCCTGGAAACATCGGTTTCATGTGAGTCTCTCGTAAAACAAAGTTTGTTTGCAAATGAGTGTTCTTCGCTACTTTCGTCCAGTTTGGTTTCAAGTAGAACTTAAGGTTGACGGAAACTCGGGGACTGCGCCTACCTGATGAGCTCAAAACAGAAGGGCGAAACCGGTCGTGGGCTGTCGAAGAGTTTTCAGCAAAGTTATGAGTAGTACACTACAAAAAATTATTCCTTTTACCTACTGGTCACTAAACAGGGATCATATGAGAAGCTGAATTTGTCAGGTACACAGTTACCTGGGGCATAGTCCTATCTCCTCTCCCCCTTCCACACTAACACCTCGTCATTGTACCTTACTCTCTTACTCTGTGTGTAAATGGCCCACAATACTGCTAAAATGCTAATGATGAATTCGGTCCTTGTTGAAATGGGTCATTTGTGCTTTGATGCCAGCTTTCCGAAGCGCCGGTTAAACATTCTGCTTGTTTGTTCATACGCCAAACTATACCGTATATCATCTTCTCATGACAAAGTGCATAAAAACAAACCTCGGAACTGTGAGCTAAAGTTATCAGAATGATAACGACTCTTCTCGGTCAAAACAATAAAATGTGCCATCCCACTTCCCACCCAACAAAAAAAGAGCTTCGTACTTAAAACAGGCGATGTTTACGACAACCAAGGAATTTTACGTGGAATTCAGGAAATAAGAGGACGGAATTATCGCCAACCAGGGACGTGGCCCAACGTTATAAATTTAGGCTCAAATTACAAGTGGAAATTACGGCGGAAGAATGGAACAACGAAGCCTATATAGTGAAAGGTGGTTGTTTCCGTTTTGCTACGAAAGCATTTGGTTTTCATGAAGGAGTTTTCTCATAAAATTAACGAAGCAAAAGCACCACGTACGATACATTCACAGACCGCTCAGATTCGGCAATCCACCGACTCAGAACTACCCTCAACTGTGATCAGATGAACTGTTGCCTCTCGTTTTTCTTGTTATTCTAAAAGATTCCGAGTTTGTCTCTCTCTAGAGTGGGCCATCTTTTTGCTCATTTGAGATACCAAGATCACTATCATAGCCATTGTCAAGACATTGTGAACGATTCTAGATGTTCTGTTCGTCATGAATGTGTGTCGTTCAGCTGTAGTACCCTTTCGGTGCCTAGCTGTCATGCCACACGAAGGAGGCACGAAGGCTGGGATACTGTCAGGTCGCCCAAGCCTAGACAGGGAAAGTTGAGTGGCAGAGGTCGGGTTCAAACCACGGACCTTCCGGTCAGTAAATTCGCGCTCTAACCACTTGGGCCAACTCGCCCCATCATGAATGTACATTGGAAGGAATGAGAGTCTGCAGTAGCTGGATTGCAGCAGCGTCAAGAGCAAGAAACAAGAATATCGTAAACAAGAAACTCAGTTTTGATTCATTTGGTTCAGTGCTAGGAAAGCTTGCAAATGAATGTATTTGCCCAGTAACTCAGAGTTCAGTGTTTAGGCGGCACAAAGTGTTGACGATAAACCTGGCAATACGCCTATTTTATGAGCCCCGAGAATGGCGGAC